TAAATATTTTTTTTACAGCAGACTGCACTCTAGGCTGGTTTTTTGAGCAGACAGTGCTCTAGGCTAGTTATATACAGCAGACAGTGCTCTAGCCTAGTTTTTTTTTTTTTTTTACATCAAACAGCGCTCTAGGCTAGTTTTTTACAACAAAAGGTGCTCTAGTTTAGTTTTGTTTTACAGCAGACAGTGCTCTAGGCTACTTTTTTACAGCAGACAGTGCTCTAGGCAAGTTTTTTACAGCAGATGATGCTCTGGGCTAGTTTTTTTACAGTAGATGGCGCTCTAGGGTAGTTTTTTACAGCAGACGATGCTCTAGGCTAGTTTTTTTTTACAGCAGACAGTGCTCTGGGCTAGTTTTTTACAGCAGACAGTGCTCTAGGCTACTTTTTTTACAGCAGACGGTGCTCTAGGCAAGTTTTTTACTGCAGATGATACTCTGGGCTAGTTTTTTTTTACAGTAGATGGCGCTCTAGGGTAGTTTTTTGAGCAGACGGCGCTCTAGGCTAGTTTTTTTTACAGCTGATGGTGCTCTAGATTAGTTTTTTTTACAGCAGACAGCGCTCTTGGCTAGTTTTTTTTTTTTACAGCAGACAGTGCTCTAAGCTAGTTTTTTTTACAGCAGACAGTGCTCTAAGCTAGTTTTTTTTTACAGCAGACAGTGCTCTAGGCAAGTTTTTTTTTTTTTTTTTTTTTTTTATACAGCCGAGTTTTCTAGGCTAGTTTTTTTTTTTTTTACAGCAGACAGTGCTCTAGGCTAGTTTTACTAACAGCAGATGGTGCTCTAGATTAGTTTTTAAAATATTTTTTACAGCAGACTGCACTCTAGGCTGGTTTTTTGAGCAGACAGTGCTCTAGGCTAGTTATATACAGCAGACAGTGCTCTAGCCTAGTTTTTTTTTTTACATCAAACAGCGCTCTAGGCTAGTTTTTTACAACAAAAGGTGCTCTAGTTTAGTTTTGTTTTACAGCAGACAGTGCTCTAGGCTACTTTTTTACAGCAGACGGTGCTCTAGGCAAGTTTTTTACAGCAGATGATGCTCTGGGCTAGTTTTTTTACAGTAGATGGCGCTCTAGGGTAGTTTTTTTACAGCAGACGATGCTCTAGGCTAGTTTTTTTTACAGCAGACAGTGCTCTGGGCTAGTTTTTTACAGCAGACAGTGCTCTAGGCTACTTTTTTACAGCAGACGGTGCTCTAGGCAAGTTTTTTACAGAAGATGATGCTCTGGGCTAGTTTTTTTTTTACAGTAGATGGCGCTCTAGGGTTGTTTTTTACAGCAAACGATGCTCTAGGCTAGTTTTTTTTTTTACTGCAGACAGTGTTCTAGACACGTTTTTTTAAAAGCAGACTGCGCTCTAAGCTAGTGTTTTTTTTAACATCAAACAGCGCTCTAGGCTAGTTTTTTTTACAACAAAAGGTGCTCTAGTTTAGTTTTTTTATAGCAGACAGTACTCTAGGCTACTTTTTTACAGCAAATGGTGCTCTTGGCAAGTTTTTTACAGCAGATGTTGTTTGGGCTAGTTTTTTACAGCAGATGATGCGTTGGGCTAGTTTTTTTACATCAGATGGTGCTCTAGGCTAGTGTTTTACAGTAGACGATGCTCTAGGCTAGTTTTTACAGCAGACAGTGCTCTAGGCTAGTTTTTACAGCAGACAGTGCTCTAGGCTAGTTTTTTTTTTTTTTACAGCAGACAGCGTTTAGACACGTTTTTAAAAGCAGACTGCACTCTAGGCTAGTTTTTTTCTACATCAAACAGCGCTCTAGGCTAGTTTTTGACAACAAAGGCCCTTAAGATTGTTTTTTTACAGCAGACGATGCTCTAGGCTAGTTTTTTTTTAAAGCAGATGGCGCTCTAGGGTAGGTTTTACAGCAGACAATGCTCTAGGCTAGTTTTTAACAGCAGATGGCGCTCTAGGCTAGTTTTTAACAGCAAATGGCGCTCTAGGTTACTTTTTATAGCAGATGGCACTTTAGGCTAGTTTTTAACTGCAGACGGCGCTCTACGGTAGTTTTTTTTTTTTTTTTTTTTTTTTTACAGCAAATTGCACTCTAGGCTACAGCCACAAACATAATGAAAGGTCAATTTGCACAATAAGAGTTAATGAAATCTATTAGTGGTAACCGTAACACTATTTGTTGCACTGAGTTTAGTATTGTTTAGTTTCAGTCTTGTGACGGTGTTATGTTTTTCACAGTGTTGCTTCAGCACGGTGCTGATCCAAATATCAGAAACACTGACGGCAAATCAGCTCTGGATCTGGCAGACCCTTCTGCTAAGACCGTCCTCACTGGTAAGACTCAGAGTTAATGCTTTACAGTTATTAACACACACACAGGCCGATAATGAACAAGAGACATAAATTGAAGGCATTGTTAATATTGTGATAATGTGCTGTATGTGTTCTACACACTGTAAGAGTTCATTGACTCGTTTTTCCATTCCAATGCTTTTCCATTGTATTCATGTTAGACTTTTGCAGATTCTGTCTGACACAAAATCATCATCTAGAGTCTGCCTGACACCTGCTGTCTTTGTTTTTCAGGTGAATATAAGAAGGATGAACTATTGGAAGCAGCGAGGTAAGCTTATGGCACAATAACTGTCTTTTAATATCATTGGTTTGCTGAAATAAACATTTCAAATGAGTTTTGGTCAGTTGTTGATGGTTGTAGTTTTGAATGAATAAATCCCAGTTTGTTTGTTTGTATGAATGAATGGCATGTGGTATTTTCTGTGTGTGTTATTTCACTATATGAGGATATGAATTTCATCTTCAGAGCTCCTTAAGTGTTTTACAGTTTATGTGAGAACTTGTACACAAAAATGTACTTGGCAAAAATCGGAATTAAGGTTTTGTTTAATTTAAAGAAATTGTGATAGAAATATATTACTGTTGTACAGCAGAACATATGAAACTCAATGTAAGAATAATAAAACTAAAGAAATGATAAAATATCATTCAAAAACAGTTGCACAACTGTTATTCCATGTTTTAGTTTTAACAGGAATAAAACAGAATCTGTGAAAGTCTTAATTTGTAGGGACTCCAACAATGCATTTTCTTGTGCAAAATTAAATTAAACCATGTGTTAATATTTAAAAAAATCCAGACAATTCCAGATTTAGTTACAATTGCGTTATCCATTTTTGCTACTATTCTTTTAAAGACTAGTCACTATAGTTAATTTCCAAATGACACACCGTGCACTTATACAGTCAAACATGTAGTGTATACATGTAGTGTCATTACAAATGGAAACCAATGTTTTGTTTTGTTTTTTTAACAGGATTTCTTACAGTTTCCAAAATGACGTTTAGCAAAATGATGTTTGCTTTTCTAAATTAGTTAAATAAATCACCAAACTATCAAATACCAGTCACGAGTACAACTGAATTTGTTCATAAAAATAATAATAGTATGGCAAAGAGAATGGGATATATATATATATATAATATATATATATATATATAATATATATAACATATAAAACAGTTCTGTCTGGTTCTCCAATCTGATTGGCTGATAGCCATGATATATTTAAGTAATAAAAAATAAAGCCAGCAAAAAGCAGACACTACCGATCTAAAGTTTAAAAGATGCTTGCTCAGCTGTTTAACTGTCAGCTTATGATTTTAATCCAAAGCGGAAGAAAGTAGATCCTCATAAAGGGTTTTTGAGACTCTCCATGTTTGATTTTGTTTTTATATACACAATTATGCCGTCAAACTGTTGTATAAACACAATATCACACTCGTAGCAGTGCGATATGGCTGTATATCGGCACTGGTTGGGGCACTCGGCCTGCGGCCTCCCACCAGTGCCGATATACAGCCATATTACACTGCTACTCGTGTGATATTGCTCATATATATATAGCCAATTGTGTTGGCTTTCATTTTCATCTTCATTTTATTCAGTTCATTCTTTTGAATCGATTCTTAACACTGTTGTGTTAGTCCAAATACAGGTTTAGAGATTTTAGCAAAAAAAAAAGTTGCAAAATCTTAATATAATCTTTATCTCCAGTGTACTTTTTCTCACCCTGAAATGGAAATGCTGTTAAATACAAACAAAATGAGTTAGTGTCAGTATGGGTAAAAAAACACTAGTATTTGGTCTAAATTACTATAGTATATTTTCATGTGGGTGCCTGACAGCTGAAAATAGATCTGGTAGCAGATATTGTAGCTTAAATGTATTCTTACAATTAATTGTAGCTTATTGTAGTCTTAAGTATAACATATTATCTGTTCTTTGGAAGAGTGTACCTGCATTGTGGTGATATTATATTGTCATTCTGGCATTATATATAGTGAGTGGCATAAAATGTAAATATGACCATATATTTTGATGCAATATATCGTACAACAAAAAATAAATATCATGACAGGCCTAATCAGAAATGCATATACAACTCACAAACAATGAGTGTGAATAAAATGTCAATAAAAGTGGATTATAGTACAATTTACTCATACATATGCATACATATATTTGCGCACATAAAATATACTCGTATTTAAAAACCATATATGACCAAATATGTAAACTAGGCATGGGACAATAACCGTTTTCAAGGTATACCTTGGTTTAGAAAAGTCAAAGTTTTAAAACAATCAAAATTTTCTGCTATACTGTTCATGTTTTTTTTTGTTTTTTAGGACATCTTCAACAGAAAAGACATCCAATGATGCTGTTTTAAATTGTAAAAAAAAAAAATTTTTTTGAAACATATGAAGACATCAGAAGTGAATAATTTGTTTACTGTTCCAAAATATTTTAAATGTTTCTCAAAAAAAAGGTTATTGTTTTTTACCCTGACATTTAAAAAGAATATAATTTAGAGCAGTAATCTCAATACTGTGATATTTTTATTTAAGGTTATTATCATACCGTCAGAATCTTAAAATGGCCCATGCCTAATGTAAACCTCTGCATACATATACATGCATAGAGGTATAGCAAAACGTTAAAGGTAAAGGCTGCACAACCTTGCACAATTCCAAAAGATGTTGTGTCCCTTTCTAAGAGTGTTGTATTTTTCAGACTGAACCGTAATTTAATTTTTTAAATCTCCCATTTGCTATTTAGGAGCGGAAATGAGGAAAAACTGATGGCACTTTTGACTCCGCTTAACGTCAACTGTCATGCCAGTGATGGACGCAAGGTAACAGATCCGAATTAATTCTTATCATCTGCATTAATCATATTGATGTTGATGTTTAACTTCTATTTGACATACTGGAATGTTCTACAATTTGAAATATAATGAACATTTATCTATGTTAAGCAGCTTTGATGCAATCTACATTGTAAAAATCACTATTGAAATAATGATTTAATGTTTAATATATTTGGAAAGTCGTAAACGCCCAAAATGTCTGACATTGTTTCTAAATTGAGTTCAATCTCAAACACAGGATGTGATTTCATGTATTTCTATGGTTGTGTAAATGATATTGATGTAGGTCAAGACAATCCCAAATCCCCTCATGTGAGTGTTTTCTTTCTGTAATACTGTGTGTTTTAGAGGAAACGGCTCTGACCCAGATTTTCCCCTTTATATTGAGTTCATGTCTGGACAACGTATGGCTGATGTCATTTTAAAATGTTTGTTTAGAGGCTTAACTGCCCCTTTATTCACCCTGTGCTGCTTTTAGAAGTCGGTCATTTTTAAAAGGGATTTTTTCTACGGATAATTATTTCCCATCGGATGCACATCTGACCTTCACGAAGTTTTAGCTCAAAGCTTTTATGATCTATTTCTTTCTCTAATCACAACATAATAACAGGACCTCAATCTTCCCTTTAAATCCCTGATGATTTCAGGTCACTTCATACGTCAGATTTCCCTCTGGAACTCTGGGTCTTTATAATAGAAGGGCTTTTTAGGAACGAGTTCGCTGTGTGATTTTCCTCTTATTGACTTCAGAGTCTGTATTATTTTCAGTGAAATGTTCTGTAGTTAAGTTATCTTCTATTAGTAGCAACTGAATATTGTTGGCATCTTCATTTTTGTATTCTGATGCTTAAAGTAAGGCTCCACTTTTTTACATTTTACAACATACCTAGAGTTAAACGGTTGAGTTTTACCATTTTTTTAAAATCCATTCGACCCATCTATGGGTCTAGTGGGAGCCCTTTTATGGCTCGTTTGCACTGACTGGTACGGTACGGTTCGGGTCGGTACGGGTCACCTTTATCAGGCTTGTGTTTCCACTTCTAAGGGTACCTTTTTGGTGGGCGTGGTGTACGACAAAGTTTCAGTCGACGTAATTTTTGCTCGAGAAAATTTCCACAGTAAAGCTGTACGGGTCGCTCGCATAACATATGAGAAGCACTTCTCACAAAACGCATGCTTTTTACACATAAATACTTGTGTATGAATGTTTATTACTAACTTTTCTATGAACATGATTTAATTATAACTGCAGATCAATGACAGTGCGAAATAGCCTAATGTAACGTCTGTAATTATGAGATAATTTAATAAATGCAGCATATATAAACACATACAGCCACTTACAGTCTCTGATATGTTACCAACTACAGAAGAACTTCACACAGCATACATTTAGTGCTTATTTAGGTTCAAAAACAACACAAAATATAGCCGACAGTCAGTGAAAGCCTCTTATCTGTGTCTATGTATTTACGCTGTAAAAGATCTCTCGGCTGTGTTTTCATTCTGGCTTGTTGCGTAAGCGAGTGATGCATCTCTGTTAAACAATAGCGTTCAGCTGCGCATCTAGCTCCGCCTTTTGGTACCCTTTCTCGTGTTTGGTACCCTTTCAAAAGGGTGCCAAAAAAGTGGTCCAGTTTGGTTTGGTGAGCCTTTTGACGGCCATAATAGCGTACTGAACCATACCGTACCATTCAGTGGAAACGGGCCATTAGCTTAGCTTAGCATAAATCTTTGAATCAAATTAGAGCATTAGCATCTTACTTAATTTTAAAAGAGTTAGAGTTAGAAGAGTTAGAATTAATTAACTGCTGTTACCTAGCTGGGGACTATTTTCAGGCCTATATACATATTATTTTATCTGCTGCAGTCAGCAGCAAAGTTCCTTTATTATTAGTCCAGAATGAGAGTATACACTACCTGACAAAAGTCTTGTCGCCTATTCAAGTTTGAGGAAAAACAAATAATAACGTGACTTCTAGTTGATCATTTGCTATCAGAAGTGGCTAATATAAAAGGCAAAGGCCTCTAGATTACACTTATTTGACCAAAATAGCATATGATCATGGGTTGATTTTGAATGATTTCATTAGCACAATAAGGTCTGACTTATACAAAAGTCTTGTCACTTAACAGAAATAATGTACAGTATAATATAAAGTCATGGTGTAGTGTGAAAAGTATTAGTATTGTGTATGACTCCCATAAGTTTTGATGACTTCATCCAATTATTAATAGTAATATCTTATTAATAACTTGTTAATAAAGTCATCTGGAATGGCAAAGAAAGCGTTCTTGCAGGACTCCCAGAGCTCATCAAGAATCTTTGGATTCATCTTCAATGCCTCCTCCTTCATCTACCCCAGACATGCTCAATAATGTTCATGTCTTGTGAGTGGGCTGGCCAATCCTAGAGCACCATGACTTTCTTTGCTTTCAGGAAGTTTGATGTGAAGGTATGAGAAGGAGCACTATCCTGCTGAAGAATGAGTTCTTCTGCAGTATTTGTGATGATTGGGATGCTGTTCAACAGATGATTCATCAGAAAAATTGACCTTCTGCCACTTTTCCAAATGATCAACTAGGGGTCAAGTTATTATTCGTTCCTCTTACAACTAGAATGGACAACAAGACTTTTGTCTGACACACACTTTTCAAAATGAAAGTAGTTATAGACTTAAAATCGTTTTGAAGATATTGTGCATACTTTAGTCCTTTATGCACGCTCAGCTATTAGTTTTTAAGCACCACAGTGGGCTAATATGCTAGATCATAGCTAATTTTTGTTTTGTTTTGTTTTTTGTTCTGGCGACATTCAGTCAACATCACAAAAAATGCTGGTAAGTTTATTTTGTGAAACAGAAATTAGTTCTATTTGGTTTTCTGTGATTTTTCATTTATTTACCTTATGAATTTTGTATTCATTTTTGTTAATTTTTGTCCCTAAAAATCCATCCATACGCTGGTTCACACTTAAAAATGCACAGAAACCTTCCTTATTTTCTGCTGGTCACAATCCATCAATCAACCAATAGCTCCGCTAACATTTCAACAGCTCCTGCAGGTTCTCAAAACAAGGCTTTCATTTATCTTCTTTTAACTGTTTTGCTCTTCTACTACAACACTTCTCTAAATTGTCTGTCTTTGCAAGAGCTCCACCATGTTTCCAGCTGTAAAGCGCACATCCACGCATCTTATCTCACGTTCTTGAAACCATTTGTTTGATTTGTTGTGATCAGCACGCATGCTCTCCACAAATATGGTGTTTAACTCCTGGTTTTTGATTGACATCCTATCCTGTTTAGATCCATTGTGTTTATGCTAGAAATGTTGCACTGTTGCCCATTGCTTGTGCTGTACTTTTATTTTTAGCCCTCATTAATAGTGATATGAACATGAATGTTGCCTCTCCATCCTGCACCGAATAATATTCTCAGAGAATGCATCATAATTTCGAGGCAGATCTTCATTTGGATGTTGAGATGTTGTCTTGCTGATTGTTTGCTGTGGTTGTGTTCAGGCTATCGTAATGGCATGTCATCAGTATTCACTGCATGAACTGGCAACAGATTTGTTAACGTTTTTGTGCTTAGATTAGTTGAAGTTACTATTACTGGTCACTTACAATCATCTCTTTTAACGTGATTCAGAATAAAGGCCTATTTGCACCAAGGTGCAGTATTGCAGACTTTTTTAACCCCTTCATTTTCTCTTTTCAAAATAATTGTGCAATAAAAGGATCTAAGTCATGAACCATGCCGATTTGCTATTACAAACTTATTGTTCTATACTGTAAAACGAATCCGAAAATGAGCAGTTTTCTGTATTTTGTGATTTATGTTTTTATATTTTTAGTTTGGAAAAGTTACTTTGACCATTTTTTATAGTTTAAAGTAGGGCTGCATGATATTGGAAAAAACTGCCAACGCGATGTTTTGTTTTTCTGTGATTATACATTGGGACAATGTATGAAATTATGAAATATAATTTCAGCAAATTACTTTAATAGCTTAATTTGGGAAGAGTTCTACATTTTAAATTGATTGGGATGACTTTGTAGGACAGATAATCTTCATAAATCAAAGAGACAGCTTTTTTTTGTCTTCTGGAGAGTCTAAAAGCTGATTTATACTTCTGCGTTAAACACGCGCGAATTTTCTGGCCCAGCCTTCGCACGGTTGCATATTTTTTGCCTATATTAAAGAGCTTAGAATCACCAAGAGGCAACACTCAATAGAACAATCCATTGCAACAGTGGCGCCCATTGATCCCACCATTCTGGGGTGAAAGCAATCGGCTGTCCATTGGATCTTATTGCTGTCGCGATGGCAAGCAGCTGCTTTGTTTTTTATTAATTCGTTTAAAAAGCGCATCAAAGCTGAAATACAACCTGAAAGATGACGAAACAACACTTACTATCATAGACTGGTGATTATCAGCACATACTTTATGTATTAACCTTACTTGTTTTCTTGAAACTGTCACTTTTAGGTGAAATTACTTTAAATGACTTTAATAGTTTACACACTGGCATAATACAAATTAATACTGAAATGTTTATTAAATTAGCATGACTTTCAAAATGGGATGTTGATATCAGTGCTTTTTGTTGGAGTATTATTATTTTTATTATTATAATACAAGTATTTTTCAAGAATATTTTTTATATTCATATATCTATATCTATATATATATATATATATATATATATATATATTCATAATATTAATGTTGTCTTTTAAAAACATAGAGGCCATATAAACTACCAGATAATGTAGTGTTTGTTGTGTATACCCATTTTTGCTTCACCCTAATTTGAGTAAAACAAAAAAAAATAGTACTCCAAGTTATTTTGTTAACCTTATGTTAAATGTGAAGCAGATATTTTAGATATTAGATCTATTAAATGTCTTGTCAACATTTTAGAAATTGTATGTTTTCATTGGGATATTGTTTTAAAAAGTTTAAAAATGTTACTTTTCAAAGGGGACGCACTCGTTTTAACTCATACTTAACTCTATATTTTGATTCATTCTGTCTTGTGTTAGTTAACCGTGACGTTTTCCTATTGGAATTTTCACTCCAAAATGACCACTGCGTGACACAAGCATCTAGTGGCTGTTTCCGAAATAGCAACAGAGTGTTGCCTCTTGGCGATTCTATGCTCTTTGCCTATATGTTGACCCGCACCTCTTAAAAATGTAACTACACATCGCAACGAGTGACGAGCTGGTGTACTGGTGATGAGCAAGGGTGGTGCTGAGAGCTGAGAGCCCGATGGAGCGAGTATTTACAAGTTTCGAGTCCTGTGAAACTTTTAGAAAGCTGTGAAAGCTCCAGATGGAAACTTTTGTTTTGTGTTTGTCTTATAATTGAAGTTGTTGCCCGTCTGCCAGTTCCCGCCTCTGAATGAGGTCAAAGGTCCACACACACAAAGAAAGAGAGAGAGTGTTTACAGCTTTCATTTTCTCTATAGCAGTGAAATAGGGGTTCATGGGTTTTTCTGTATCAGTTGTCTGCTTTTTAAGTAACGTTAGTTGGAACATTTTAATTAGGCTACTCTTTCTTACATTCCTCTCCATTGTAATAATTAAAATAATCTCTGCTTTTGTGATTTGAAAATAGCACTATTTCAGATCGTGATTTCTGTTTTAAAACGGTTAATCGTGCAAGCCTAGTGTGTAATACGTAATAGTCACATGTCCACCAAGCATGTGTTTATGTGCAAAAACAATAGAAAAGTATTGCATTGGAAAGGAAAAATGTGTGACTGGCCCCTAACTGCGTTGGAATGATTTTGTCACTGCAGAATTCATAAATAAACGGCACCATTTGTCTCTTAATTCAGGGGTTCTCAATCTTTTTCACTTCGGGGGCCACTTTTTTCTCCGATTAATTTTTGAAGGCTAGCTTGTCTGACAGTTTCTATAAAATTTTATGAAAATTGTTTATATATATATAAATATATTATACAGTATAGATAGATAATTTGATGGATAGATAGATAGATGGATAGATAGATGAATGTATTTTTTGTAAGACATACTCAAGACAGATTCAAAGAGAATCACAGGTCAATAGGAAGACTGTTAATTACCAGCTTCTGCTTTAAACTAGATTGACTGAATATCTACTATTCAAAAATGTAAAACACCCTAAATCTGTTCAAACGCGTCGATCTGATGGCGGTTGAGTTTGTGGCTAGATATTATTGGGAGATCGCAGACAGGAACAGTAAACAGCTCCGCCAGAGCTCATCTGAAGCTCATATGCAAGTTTATTTTACATTGTATGGCAGAAACACCATTGATACACAAAGAGAGACTTTCACTTTCACCTCACTTTGTGAATAAACAGACTTGCGTGTATTAGCTGCAGACGTGATCATGAGGCTGTTTTTGCGCCAAGTTTGATAAATCAGAGAACAGGTGAAAGTGCATTACTTTGATCATTTTAATATAGCATATTAATAATGAAATCCCAAAATTGTAGTATTATGTTGTGAGTTATTTTAAGCTATCTTGGAGCCCACCGGTTGAGAATCCCTGCTCTAATAAATAGTTAACAGTAAAAACTATAATAGGACCCCTTTAAACCAAATGGTTTGATTCATGTTCTTTTTTTGTGCTTTGGTGTGAAGACACCTATCTTTTGATGGTTCTACATTTGTGTTCTCCTTGGTGTGAGTAGGCCTTTAAGATGTTTAACTATGGCGATATGTTTACAGTACAAAATGTAGAATTTAGGGTAACTGCTTCTCCATTTGTAAAACAAAAAACCCTTTAAACATCATTTTAAAACTGAAACGCATTACACAGAAAAGCTGATATTAGCCATCATAGTGATTAAATTAATGACGGGATGGGTTACACGCAGGTTTACATAATTAAGTTCGAGGTTGGGTTGGTGGTTATGTGCATTGAGCATTATTGATGATCATTAATTTAGCTTGACTAAGTTAGCCGTTTACATTTCACACAGGTTTTTAAACTTCTGTCTTCTTTTGCAGTCCACTCCTCTCCACCTGGCCGCTGGGTATAATCGTGTGCGTATCGTGCAGTTATTGCTGCAGTACGGTGCAGATGTCCATGCCAAAGACAAAGGGTGAGGAGCGCCTATATTTCTGTCTATCTTCCTTTAAACTTTCCCCGAATTTCAACTCCAGAGACTTCTTTAGCACAGTCATGTGATCAGAGCCAATAGCGTTGGTTTTAACTAATCTATTCAAACCTGTCCATTCTAACCGTATGTTCACACCGCAAGCGGCGAGAGCGTCAAAGTAGCTAGAAGTCATTCATTTTCAATGAGAGCCGGCGGCGATAAGCGGCGAGGAGCAGCGCAGCCAGTCTTCTCTGGCGTGGGCGTCGAGGAAAGTTGAAATCAAGTCAACTTTATGGTAATGAGCTATTACGCGGTTCGGCGGCAAGCAATCAGAATGAAGACGTCCACTGCTTGATCGGAGTTCAAAGTAACACAGACCTGTGAACTTTGGTTCCGACCACAGTTGTTCCCAAGGGTTTAATGATTGTGGTCGCCGGATTTCCAATTATTTACAATGTTTTCTTACAGGAACATACATTAAATAAGTTACTGGCGGGTTACTGATGTTCATTAATGTTACATAAATTTATCTTAAAAAAGCGACGTGACTGTACAAAACAGTACTGTTGCTTCAGGATATTTCAGACATATGGACACATATTGGATAAATAGAGCAAAGCCACACCACACACAACTTGATCTTCCATTGTTAAATGAATTTGATAAGAAGTGCGCAACATTTTCACGCTAGAAACTTGTTTAATGCAGGAATGTAACTGACATGCTGCAACGACTCCTTTAAATACGAGATCAATGTAGCGAGTTTTGACGCTCTCGCCGCCGGAGCTGAAGGCAGACAGCGTTGTCGCCAGGGCGGCCAGAGCGACCTTGGACGCTCTCGCCGCTTTCGGTGTGAACGTACGGTAATGAAGTGCATTTAGAGTGGTTTTGCATCTTCTTAAACCAGGATTTACCTGACCTTGCATATAGACACCACTGTTGTGAGCATTGAAGGATTAAACCTATTATGCAGAAATCACTTTTATAAGAGGTTTGAACACAGTTGTGTGGAAACAGTCTGTGAATATAACCAGCTTCTAATGGTAAAAATGTATTAATTTTATTTTTATAATCACACGTGATAAAAACAGTTTGTAGAAACACTTTGATTGACTTTCTCCATTTTTACGTGTCATCAGAAAGGGAAGCCCCGCCCATTAGTGACTATCTCTCCCTCATTAGCACAGGACATTAGTCTTGTTTTTAAATCTGCCACTATGCTGACACATAGGCATTTTTAGCTCCTCCCTCTTTTAAAAAGAAACCAATCTCATTTGAATTTAAAGCCACAGTCACCAAAACGGCACAACTAGGAACAAAGGCTAAAAAGAGCAGCTGCAAGGAGTTACAACACATTATTTGTGCCTTATTCGGAGCTGAAACCTCACATACACACTCTAGGGACATCAGAGACTTAATTAATCTTGTAAATGTTGTTAATGATGCTCTTATTATTCTGAAATAATCATCTTTTGCTTGTTCACTCTCTCCATCAGTGGTTTGGTTCCTCTGCATAATGCCTGTTCTTATGGTCACTATGAGGTCACAGAACTCCTGCTGAAGGTAATGGAGGATGTGTATCTGATCCCAAATTAACCCTGATATAATCACACTTTGAATTAAGTGGCTTTAACTATGATTTACAGTAGAAGAGAATAGGATTATCTTATCACTTATGTTGTTTACTTCTGGGGAAAGTCTTTTTATTCCAGATAAAATAAAATAAGCTAAATACTGCCAAGGTCAATGAAATATTACATTAAGAAATGAAGACTTTTTTTGATTGGCTATTGAACAAACCAGTGTATCATGTATCATGTATCAAACCAATGTATCATTTGTTGCCCTCTGTCCAGACCAAATGAACCGAACTACAGATGTGAAAGCACCCTTAGATTTCCATTAAACAAATACTATTTATTTATGTATTTATTTCTATATATTTATTTATTTATTCGTTGTTCTGTCATTTATTTTTAGTGTAAAATTGTTACTTTTTAAACGCAAAAACTTTTATTCACTTGTTTTTAGGTTCAAAGAGAACTGGGCTATTGTTTGTTTTTTAAATGTTAAATGTTTATGCTATATTTAGTTACTGAGCAGCAGTAAATAACACTTAAAATATAAGGAGTTTTCATGTGATTTTCTAAACTAGTAGTGTTTTGAAATTAATGAATCTGTGATAATCGTGTTTATTTCTAAGACTACCTTTTATCAATGTTTACATTTTAAGCAAGTGGCAAGAGGAATGGGATGCATTAGAAAATAATAAATCACATGAAGTTTAACCTGAAATCTCACATAGAATTTTAAGACATTTTAAGATCAGATTTGATCAAGGAATTTTCACCAGATGTCGTATTGTGCATACAAGAATAACCCATGTTTTGTTTTTTTTCTCCAAGGTGAAAACCCTACTCAGTGTTTGTGCTGCACTATTCCTCTTACTGTAAAACACATTTTACTGGACTGTCCTGTATTAAATGAACTCTCTTAAGGACATTTTTAGCCAAGTGAATTAGCGCTAAAAATCTTATTCAATTTATGTATTCATTTGATTTAAAGATTTTACTTTTGGCCTTTTTGCCTTTATTAGCTAGGACAGTATTTAGACAGGAAACGAAGTTGTAGATAGACGGGGAAGGGTAGGGAAATGTCCTTGAGCCGTGATTCGAACACGGGACGCCCTGACGTGCTACTGCACCATATGTTGACGCGCTAACCACTAGGCTATTGCGCCGACTTGTTTGTTGATTTTTAATTGTATATTTATTATTGAAATGTTCTAAAATAGCTTTGGTTGCTGAGATGGCGTTAAATAAAAAAAAATACATTACATTACATTTATTCCTCAGACTATAATCGTACAACCAAAATCTATAATCGTTGCATCCCTAACTGCAAAGAAAGATTCATTTAAATGTAATTACATCACAGTTAAGGCCACTTAATATGTAGTGTCGCCCTTTGTTTTTTGATGAGTTTCTCTTATGATTGAGTGCTGTATATGTGTGTGTCACTCTCAGCATGGGGCGTGTGTTAATGCCATGGACCTCTGGCAGTTCACGCCGCTGCACGAGGCGGCCAGTAAGAATCGAGTGGAGGTTTGTTCTCTGCTGCTGAGTCACGGCGCAGATCCAACACTGCTGAACTGCCACGGCAAGAGTGCGGTGGATGTGGCTCCCACACCTGAGCTGAAAGAGAGACTCACCTGTAAGTCACTTTCACCGCGCAGAGATTGGGTGTCTTAATTTTGATTTGAAGTATTATCAGTGTCAGATTAAACTTTTCAACATCACATATTTCATACTAACCAACTTAACCTTTAGTTAGAAATATGAATTTTAGAGGGGAACAGTGATGCATTTTTGTACTGTATTATGTGTTTTACTCAAACTGTTGTTATTATTTACTGTTTAAACAAAACTGGTGTATTTTTATAGCAAATTAGTATATATAGTTGTTATTTAGTATATATTAGTATAAATTAGTATATATAGTTGTTAGTATATAATAGTTTTTATTCATCTTTATATTAGTTTTTGTAATGAAACAACTGAAATAAAATAAGTTCATATTCATAAAATAAATATATATAAAAAATTCAGTTAATCTTTCTTATTTTTGGTTACAAATTATTTTCTTTTTCTTTCTTTTTCTTTTATTTTTTACTTATGACCTTAGCCAGACAAAATCTGCTGATATTTTTTGCTATTTCTGCACAGAAATTTGTACAAAATCTGCAGATATATGTGGAATGATTTTGAGAGTATCATAACTAAAAACTTAATATGTGAAATAAAGAATAATACATTTTTAAATTCCAATTAGATCCACTTATTTGGTAAACAAAGCAAGTCTCTCATATAATATATCTACTAAAAGACAGGAAAGATTACTTTACAAACTGTAATGTAAATAAATCAAATTAATATTTTCATATTAGTCAATAGGGCTGGGTGATATTGCAAAAAAATTGTCACGATATATCATATAATTTGATATCGGTAATAATTCAATATTTTTTAACAATACATTTAGGAATATTAGAATTTTTGTTTTATTTCACAACTTTATTTTTATCTACCAACATTATTAAGGTAAATAACTTCAATAGTCAAAAACAAAAAATATTTAAACAATGTCTGATCTCGTTATAATAAAATAAACAGAAGTGTTAGAGACTTTTAGACTTGATAATTTGATGCAATAGTAAAGTGTATACTAAACAATCAAAGCAAACTTTAAGGTGTCAATAATAATGATACAGTAAACCTCAAACTCTGTAAACAAAACAAATTATGATAATCAAATCTGAGCTTTCAAGTAAAGGAACCAGCCATCATTAGTGCGCATGCCGTGCAAGTCATGCGCCTCCATTGGAAATGACAAGCTAACACCCTAAGCTTATTTGCACTGCTTCCAATTCGCACGCTTAGTAGACACATTTTAATAAAACTGTAGCGCTTCACACCGAATTTTTCCCCGATATTGACAATGGTGTTCAGTCATATAATAAATATAGATACCGCCCAGCCTTATTAGTCAATAATATTACTGAAATTCATTTAAAAACTGAATAATTAGAAATTTATATGCATTTACACAAGTAAAAAAAAAAAAAAAGTTGACTCGATGGGCAAAAAATTGGTGGAAATCTTCAGATTTCTGCGAGCGCATATTTCGTGTGGGCCTAGTTATGACCTTTATAAATATGAATGTATAAAGCTCAATGTTCAGTTTCACCTTTTTAATATCATTTTAATCTACTAACTGAGTTTGCGACAACAATTAGGATGTTTTTTCTTTACCTAATGAACTTTCCCTGAGTTTTTTTTCTAAATATTCAATATTGAATGTAATCTATGTAAAAACTGAATCAAAACACAAGCCTGCAAAATGTGCCTCGATTTCAGTCACTTGAGCTTCTGTGATTTCCTTCATCCAGATGAATTTAAAGGACACTCGCTTCTGCAAGCAGCCCGTGAGGCGGACATGGCGAAGGTCAAGAAAACAGCTCAAGAAATCATCAGCTTCAAACACCCGCACTCGCACGACTCCGCTCTGGTGAGTGCAAGAACATTGTTTTCTCTGAAACATCAGGATTTAAATAGCAGTATTTCCATCCACCAGTTTTTATCCACATGTTGGAATATCCCATGAAAAAACGTTTAATGAAAATGCCATGATGTGCATAAATTTTAATAATAAGTATAAAACACTTACTATCAAATAAGAAAAAAATGTCAATAAATTACGATAGAGACAAACTTTTACTAAATAATTCCAGTGTACGCATTGAAGTCATCTGATTTTGTTTTACGTGATCATGTGATGATAAAAATAGGCACAATGAGATTGCAGGCCGATCACATCTTAAACCATCTGAAATGTTGTTTTGGTCTTTCTAAAATCCCTCAGCCAAAGTCCATCATCACAGTGGTTCAGTATTATTATTACCTCCAAAACTATCTTGAGCATCTCCGCTCCCAAAGAGCATCTCATGTCTCCAAAAGCCACGTCTTTGTCTTCTGATGCACAAGTATTTTATTATTTAATAAAAAAGGCCCACAGTCGCTTCTCTTAATACAGCGAATTTTGGTTTTATTGTTAATATCTGGTATTTAATTTTAGTTTATCAGGAAGGATGATTTTGTTCTCTTTAACACGTTGTTTGGAAACTGTGCTATATTTATAAATGTTTTATGGGATATTCCAGTTTTGTGCATACATTTAATTAGCATCTTTGGATGGGAATCTAGCCAATGATGTCTTTATTAAAATCTCTCCCCATCTGTTTATGCACAGCACTGCGCCGTAGCCTCTCCTCATCCCAAACGCAAACAGGTCACAGAGTTACTGCTGAGGAAAGGTGCCAACATTCACGAGAAGAACAAGGAGTGAGTCTTTGATTTCATGTTGGATCAGGGTTACCACGAGTCATGGAATTTCTGGAATAGCATAGAATTTTTAAAAGCTGTTTTCCAGGCATTGAAAGTCAGGATATTTGTATATTTTTTGTAATGGAATATCAGGTATTTTTGTTTGTCGTTTTATATTTATGTTTCTATTTATCAATATATAGTTGAAGTCAGAATTATTCGCTCCCCTGCATGTTTTTCTCCAATTTTCGTTTAACAAAAAGATTTTTTGTCAACACATTTCTAAAAATTATTATTATTACTGTTTTCTATTAACTGATTTCTTTTATCTTTTTCATCATGTTAGCACATTAAATTTGACTAGATATTTTTTAAGATACTAGTATTCAGATTACAGTGACATTTAAAGGCTTAATTTGGTTAGTGGGCTATATGCACATGGACTTTTAATTTTCAGCCAGGCAGCCCAAGGGCCTCCGGTGAACTGTCTTTCCATTACAAAATTCCCACGTTTAAGATCTGATTTCTTTACAAATGAGCAATCTTTACTGCCTGATGATTAACAATATGAACACAGTCTCAGACCGGACAAGAAGCACTGTATTAAATTCCATTTCCCCTCGCCATGTCTTTAAAATATGACCGTTTATTTTACCTCAGTATTTTCAATGGAATTTCTGTGCTAGCATGCTGCTACTAACGGCGTTAGTAGTTATTACATCAGTCCTTCATCTTGTTTTACACTTAAAAAACTAAATCAATGCTTGAGTCTATTTAACTGAATGTATTGTAATTACATTTCAACATCGATGCTGTAAAAACAACCTTGTCAAATTGAAAACAGTCACATTACCCTTTCACTGGAAGTGTATCATTGGCTTTAAAACTCTAGTTGTTCAAAGATCTCATTATGCAAGTTAGAATAATTAGGCAAGCCATTGTATAACGGTGGTTTGTGGTCCGTGGATCAATTGATACTGGGCCACACAAGAAATTATTCATTATTTTCCTTTTATTTAGAGTCTGACCGGTTTTTATTTTGAAAAATGACCATATTCTCTTGCTTACATCTCAAGTCACTCGAGCATCCAAATGTAACCCACAAGCAGCAAAATGAGTAAGAAACAGATGTCTTTGAAAAGTTTCTTTGCAAAGGGGAAAATGCTCTGTGAAGGACCTGCGAACTGCAATGCAATAAATCTGCAACCCATTTGTCAACGAATCAGGTGAATCCACCATGTCTGTGCAAGATTAACTGCTGGAGATCGCAAATGATGGCGGCCTTTTAGGGGCTGTTCGCATATCGCGTCTTTTCTAGAGTTCACGCAACTTCGTTATTTCCAATGGAGGTGCGTGGCGTGATGTGCTCACGCCTTCCAGACACACCCAGTTGAATGAATGCCCAAGTGCATTGTGAGTTGCGTGAGAAGAACTGACTGATCAGCCTAATACTTTATATGGAATACACATATTTTATAAAGACTAATTATCTCAGACAAACACAGAACACCTATACACTGCAGTGCATTGTAATTTTTCTCCATAAATAAAACTTGTATAAGAGTGACTGCGATGTTTTGTCAGCAAAAAATAGTTGATGGTCGCTTAGCAACCTACGAACCACCTCCCTAAGCAACTACTAATTCTTTGCTCTGTTAAACATCATTTAGGAAATGATGGAGGGCTA